TAATCATCTTTCCTGTTCTGAAGAGAATATAAAAGTGTATATTGTCTTCATACGAAGACCACTGCATTTTCGTGACTATTATTGTGAAATCGAAGATGAATCTAACGTTAGATTGTTACAAAATTCTTGGTGTTGATGTTAACGCTTCCACAAAAACAATACGTCAAGCCTACAAGGAAAAGGTTCTCAAGTGGCATCCAGATAAACGAGAAAATGATATCGAAGCCGGACGGATGTTCACAGCAATTAAAAAAGCATACGAAACGTTATCCGATGAGGGTGCAAAATTAGCTCACGATTCAAAACGAGATGAAGACGACGATAATGATGATTATAATATACGGCGACAAGAGCTCATTCAAATTTTACACGGCAAACGAATATCTGAAATGTACGAAGAGAAAATTACCAAATGGATCGATGAATATCCAAACTATCAATTCGAAGATAATTTTTCAAGCGAAATAATGAAAATTACAAACACTATTCTGCACACTTACGAACACGAAAGAACTATTGACTGTACGAGACACATATGTCCTGTGTGTGATCAATACTGTCATGATCTGGCAGAACACATGGATGCCATGCAACGGATTCAGAACAATCATCTAAGAAAAATTAGTGATTCGACATCGTTAAACGATCTATTAGCTTCGTTGACTCAGGACGATTGGTCATGGAAACCAGTCGAACCTAGCTCGCCGAAATACAAGGAACTCTGGTTTAGTCCACATTGGTCTTCTTTTGAAGAAACCATCCATCAACTTTTACCATCATTGAATATTCTCAAGAATGTCGGGCTAAAAACTCAACCACCTATCGAATACAAAAAAGCTGAACAAATTGTTCGCTCGATTTGTGAAGACTATCCCACCATCTATAACCCAGATATCACTTTCCTTACAGAAAAGATCGATGCCGAACTTCAGTTACATCGAACTGGTAGTAAGGTTATCTCTACGACCTATTCTATCGGTCAGCAAATATGCATCGTGCAAAATCCGGATCAAGATGGTATTCTTAGTCAAGTAATGTTTAACATTCAGTCATCGCCTGATGCAACTGTCGAACAATCAAAATGTTCGTTTTGTTCAAAGCATTTTGGTTTATTTCGAAAACGATATCGATGTTGCATGTGCAGTGAAAACCAATGTAACGATTGTCTTAGTTGGCAAACTTGCCGTCCTTTAGGATACACAAGTCCAGTGCGTATTTGTCGTCAATGTTCTTCGCGAACAAGATCGTTCATTATTGATGCTGTCGCTCAACATATCGAACAACTCTTACATAATGACATTAATAACCGATATCTTCTAATATATATTCATCTGCTCAAATACTATTCCCCGTCCAATCCTATCGTCGATCAACTGTGCAAACGACCAAGCGATTATTATCTCTCCACAAAACAGTTCGCTAAAGTTATTCAATGTTATCGCTTCATGACAATATCTGATCAGTCACTATTCAAGTTCGCCGAGATCTTATGTAGCCATTCACAATATCCATTAGCAGTCATTTGCTTCGATCTCATTTCAAAACGCTTCCGTTATGATGAAAGAAAGTGGGAGCAGATCGGCAATGATTATTGGGCGACGGGAAACGCTGTGCTTACTTTGTTGAGCTATGAAAAAGCAAATTTAAATATCGAAGAGCTTTGGTTAAGATCCCTGCGTGGAAACAAATTCCTTAGTGAGGATCGAGCTCTCTTCATCTTCTATACAACGTGGCAAAAACAAATCTCCAAGCAATTGACTGAATGGATAACATGGTTAACTGGCCAACTGCAATCGGAAAGTTCCATGTCAGCTGCTATTTCCACACTTCAATTAGCCAGGTTTTCAGCTCAACAATGGAGTGTCACTTTGAACGATTTCTCAAATCAACATCGATATCCTATTGTAGCTTCCATCTTGCGAATGCTGGATGAAAAATTATTGAATGAAATTCTTTCAACAAATCAATGTACAAATAATTTTCTACAATTAGCTCTCCAAATGTTAGTCAACGGAAGACTAGAAAATGTTGACAAGTCGATGATGCACACTTTTTCCTCGTCGGATATCAAACAAATTTTGTCTGGATTGGCTGCAATTCATGTTTTCTATCATCCTGATTGGCAAAAACTACGAAATCAGCGTGCTTGTTCAGGAAAACTCGATCAAGCTGTATCGTGTGCTAAAGTGAATTTTCTTCTGAAGGCGCAATCATCGACAGATTTCGATTGGATGGAAGACAGTGTCGAACCCAATCAATCAGTTTTTTATCTACTGGAATCATTGATCAAGAATGACGATTACATTCAATTGGCCGAATCACACGCGAAAATAAACAATTATGAAGTGGCTCTGAATTATTACTTGTTAACACTTCAATCTTCGCCACAGTTGTCCGCAGTAGAAACAATTCTGTCATCAGCCAATCATTTTCTACCATCATCTGAAGCTTTTCGTTGCTACGTCGCTGTTTATAAACAAATGCGAACAAACACAGCATGTGCTGCCAAGACACTGGAATCGATACTTGGTTGTTTTCAAGCTCAGAAAAAGCCGATCATTCCCGCACTTGCTTCGGCTCTGCTTGCCTTCGAAAAACTAGATCATTACACTTGCAACTTTTATATTTATTTACTCGACGAACTGTCGAAGCAATATGAAGAAAATTTTCCTCTGATCAACAGTATTCATCATAGTATGCACAATGTATCGTTATCAACACAATCTCTATCGCAGAGAATGCAAAACTTCGATCTTGTCTATCAGCAGTTTTTGCAAACGACAGTTTACAAGCAGATCAAACAAGTTCTGTACGGAAATATAATCGAATTAGCCGTGTGTTTACAAGATGTCACCAACATCAGCGCACTGAAACAAATCCAAAAGGAGTTCTTTGGTAATAGAGACATGTCTACAATGCCAGGTCAATATCGTGCTAAAATGTATCTTATTGAATGCATGATTGACAAATTGGAAAATCGTCATATAGACGCTGTGGGTAAATTGAACGAAGCGTTAGCCGTTTGTCCCTTGGACGACATAGTCACAGAAATCCTGACGATCATTACTAATCGAAGTTTTCATGTTGGAATTCTGAAAGATTTATTACACTCGATTGAAGTACTTGGATCAGATTCTTCATTACAATTCGTTCCCCTTCCACTGTCAGTGTCATTTTCAAAAGACAACCTTCTCATAATCAGTCCAAACTTGAGAGTTGTGCGAAAGTATGAACGCGCCATTCTAAAACGGTTGAATACCAATCCATTACAAGCGGCTTTGTCATACATTGATCTGTGTCAAGCAGTGCATGACCCTACATGTATTATCTCGAACTGGACTTTGGCCTGCTTACATTTGTACAATCTCCTATCGGAAACGAGTTCTATCATCGGAAAGGAAGCCGAAATATACGCCTATCGAAATATGATTAGTGAGCTTGTTCTTCAATCATTTCAACTGTCTCGTATTTATCTACCGCCGCACATGCAAATTTACATCTTTCGTCTTCTGCTGCCGATTCTTTTACAGACGACTGAAATTTTTCGCTCGTCAGTTGTTCATCGGCAATCACAATCATTATTTCGTCTAACGAAAAAAGAGATGGTATTATCTGAACAAGATAGTTCAGTAATTCAGCAGTTATTACACTTTACCATTCATCTGACCAAAGTGGCACCATTGATTCAATTGCCAAACTGCCTGAGCTTCGATCTTCTCTATCGTGAATTAGTCGGTCGACGTTTTCTTGTTCGCTTTCTCGAAGCGATGATCGAACAGGATATTGAGCAATCGTACTTGTATGAATATTATCTCTTTGAAGGTGTTTGGCAAGGATGGGCAAGAGATCATGATTTTAACGAGAGACGCCGTGCATGCATGCGTGCGTTACTAGATACAAAAGACTGGGATATCTACGATGTTCAATCACTACTTGACATTCCTCTCATTCCTCGTACTGATGACGGATGGCTCTATCGTGACTGTCGATCCTTAGTATTTTCCGGTGCTCAGCGATTTACTCGTGTCGATGGCATTGCATTCAATAAACGCTCAGGTCAAGTACAGTTCCACTTCCAACCTGTTAGCAAACCCAGATATGGACACGACGATGCTCTATTCGATTCGGTTGATGTGAAAGAAGTCTTTGAACTTGGAGTAACCAGTGCAATATTTACCTTGAATCAGCCGGACAACGAATTTCATGCCCATCCATTTCAAGAAATGCTCTATGCACCTAATTCTCTCTTAGATACTCAGTATTTAGCCACCTTACTTCACACAGATTACTTGCTGAAAATGTTTACCACCGGGACTGAAGTATGCGCTAAACCACCGTTTGCAATGCGTCCGATTGATGAAACGTTTTTCCAACGTTTACCGAAAGATTTGCAAGACAAATTAAAACTTTTACATAAATGCGACAGACACTTTGCTTTCGGTCGAGCCCATCGTTTTTGGATTGAAGCAAATGAAATGGTTTATGAAGAACAAGAAACAGATTCTAGTACTATTTTCCGAGTGGCTGATGTACGTCTTCGAGTTCGCAAACATTTATTGGTTCGAAATACTGAAGGAAAGCTAGTCGATGATGAGATTGAAAGCGAAGAAGAACAACATTCAGCGGAAAGTCTGTTTGCTAAAGCATTTACAGAACATTATAATGAAATTGGTCGCTATTTTCCGGAACTTCTTCGTCTGAAAGAGTTGCTGAAACTCAGCGCTCTCTATGTTTTTGCACACGCCAAACATCGATCTCTATCGAAAACAATCGACTGTAATCAACTGATCAACTATCTAACCACTGTGAGAAACAATATATCGGAATATCCTCATGCGACAAATTCTGCTATTGACCGCTATTATTATAAAACTTTGTGGGATAATGGTGTTTTATTGTGCGAAATTCCATCAGCACCAGAGAATGAACTTCGAGCGAAAATTAGTCAACAATTGGAAGCAGTTGATCGACAAGTCGTGGATCAACTTACCCAGAATTTTTGTAAACAAGCTCATAGAAGAGTGACAAGTGATGTGAAAGATCTTGTCAGATATTGGCTAAATGGATACGGCAATGAAACTAGACAACTAGCTCAATGGCTCGCAGATGGGATCAACGATTTTCATCATCAACTAAAACGGCCCATCGAGCAGTTAGGAATTCAATTAAAAGATGATGACGACGAAAGTTATACTTTGAGTATGTTTAGGCGTTTTTCGTGAATTTCCATCTTTTAATCAAATGAATTTCTTTTTTTAGAACATAAAAGTGGAAGCTGCAACTGGGTTCCCGCCGTGTTTTTGAGTGTACATGGTAGTGACAGACGGATTTATGGTGGAATCAGCCTACCGCTAAAACTTATCAAAGGACATGTACCGAGAAACAATGCTACCAGCACTTACAATGCCAGTACACTTCTCTCTAACAAGTCGTCGACAACATCAAGTAGACAAAGTAGGTGCACATTGTCTTTCTTTTGAAAAATTTCTGTTTATCTCTTTAATGTAGCCACTGGTTTTGGCAGTAGTAGTTCACGAAGCGGCGGCAACAATAATAAGCCCCCGAAAGGCGGATGGAATGACAAGAGAACAACCGAACCGGGTAAGTCACTTACCAGTTTTAGCAATCATATATCGATTTTATGTAATTGCAGAGCAACAGCCCCATTGGCAACCCTTTGGAGGTCGGATAGACGAAGAAAGATCAAGAACAAGACAAGAACCAATTTTAGAAACACGGCGTGCAGCCTTTCGCATAGCTAAAGATCAGAGTGGCATCCCTCGTTCGGCTCAACCAATAAG